ACACAACAACACACTCACAAAACGGCAAAAGGATAAAACTCTAAAAAAACCAACGAAACTTAACCAAAATTCCCATGCTCATAACACAACCCACAAGGTACAAACATATTACTCAAAATGAAAAACAACACAACATCACACTCAAAACGGCAAAAAAACAAAACTCAAAAAAACCCCAACGAAACTTAACCAAATTCCCATGCCCATAACACAACCCACAAGGTACAAACGTATCTACTCTAAATGGAAAACAACACAACAACACACTCACAAAACGGCAAAACAACTGAGCATGCGCATTGGCGCCCAGCCGCAAGTTCCCTGGCGCGCGCACATGGCCTTCCGGCCAACGTTCCCTCTGCGGAAACCATGCCCACTCCAAGCCCCGCCGCGCCGCTTCCCGCACACACACACACCCCTGCCGCACATACACACACAACCCCACACTCCATCACTCCCCCCGCCGCCGCACACACACACGCAACCCCACGCTCCATCACTCCCCTGCCCCAATCTTACCTCCTTTTACTTCACGCCACCTCCAAACCCCCCCCCCCTTCCCGCCCTGTCAAAATCTAGGAAAGATAGGAAGGAAGGAAAGAGAAGAAAGAGAAAGGAAAGAAAAAGGGGGAAGGAAGGAATTAGAGAAAGAAGGAAGAAGAAAAGGAAGAAAAGGAAGAAAGAGGAAGGAAAGAAAAGAGAAGGAGAAGGAAAGAAAAAGGGGAAGGAAAGAAAGAGATAGAGAAAGAAGAGGAGAAGGAAAGAAAGGAAGGAAGGAAGGAGGGAAGAAGGAGAGAAAGAGGGAAGATTGGCCACAGCAACACGTGGCGGGTAAAAGTTGTTATTTCTATTATTATTATTATTATTATTATTATTATTATTATTATTATTATTATTATGCTATTGTTCCTATGAGACCCTTTTAGGGGGAATGGGAGAGGTGTCAGGTCCCAGAGGCAATGCATTGCATTATTGTTATTGTTATGATGGTGGTGAAATAAAAGGAAATAAAAAGTGAAAGAAGGAAGCAAACAGGGAGGGAAGAAAGGCAAAGGAAGAAAGGGGAGGGAATGAAGGAAAGAGAGAAGGATGAAACCAAGTAGTGAAAGAAAGAAAGAGGTAGAGAAGGAAGAAAGGAGAGAAAGGGGAGGAAAAGGGGGAAGGAATAGGTAGGTACCTCTCTTTCATAATAGTCCAGATATCTACCTCAACTTTGATAAGTTTTACTATAGGCCACAGCAACGCGTGGCAGGGCACAGCTAGTAATATATAAAATAATATAAAGAATGATGAAAAATAAAATAAAAATATAAATAATACAAAATAACAGAAGAAGAAAATATAAGAAGAAACGACCGCCCGCCCGGGGCTTCCCGAGACCCCCTCCCTTTCGGACTCGCCGTTTTCCCGGCTGCCCCAGTAGACCGGATTCGGGGTTCGGGTCAGTAAAAATATAAGAAAATACAATAAATAAAAGTATACAAATATAAATACAAAATAATAGAAGAATCGCGCCCTCTTTAGTGTGTGCCAGGGGTCACTTTGCCCATTTGGTGCCTTTTTGAAGTTGTTTTGGGTCTCCTTAGTGTGTGCCAGGGGCCACTGTGCCCATTTGGTGACTTTTAGAAGTTGTTTAGGAAGCTGATCAGAAACCGCCAAATACATGACGTGTTTCAAGACTGCAGGAGATCAACTGGATTTGAATCACTGAGTGTTTTCTAATGCCTGATTATCACAAATGGAAAAATGCAGGTACTTTCACAAGTTTGGAAGAGGTCAACCGGTATTGATACTTTGACTGTTTGCAATGCAAGCTGATTGGAAAAGGCCGAATGCCTGTAGTTTCAGAAGTTTGGAGGCCTTCAACTGTTTTGAAAGATCGAGTGTTTTCCAATGCAAGCTGAGCAGAAACGGCCAAATGCATGTAGTCTGACAAGATTGTAGTTGAACTGTTATTGATACCTTGTGTGTTTGCAATCCAAGTTGATCAGAAACAGCAAAATGCATGTAGTTTGTGAAGTTTGGAGTTGTTCAATTCTTTTTTAAAAGTTCGTCAAGTTTGGAGTTCAACCGTTATTGATACCTTGAGTATTTGCAATCTAAGCTTAACAGAAACGGCCAAATGAGGGAAGTTTTTCAAGTTTGGAGGAGTTCAACTCGTTTTGAAAGTTCGAATCTTTTCCAATGCAAGCTGAGTCGAAATGGCCAAATGCATGTAGTTTGTCAAGTTTGCAGTTCAACTGTTTTTGAAAGTTCGAGTGTTTTCCAATGGAAGCTGATAAGAAACCGCAAAATGCATAAAGTTCTACAAGTTTGGGGGAGTTCAACTGTTATTGATACCTTGAGTGTTTGCAATGCATGCTGATCAGAAAAGGCCAAATGTATTTAGTTTGACAAGTTTGGAGGAGTTCAACTGTTATTGAAAGTTCGAGTGTTTTCCATTACAAGCTCATCAGAAACGGCTGAATTTATACTTTTATTCATAATTTGAGCAGGTTAGGAAAATGCCAAATTTATGAAGTTTGTCATGAATGGAAGACCCCATCTTTTATTGATAATTTGTTTCCCTAACCAATCACATCGGGAAAGGCCATATTTATGAAGTTTGTCAAGTTTGGAAGATGTCACCATGTATTGAAAATTTGAGGCTTTTCCTTACCTGGCAGTGTCACAAAAAGCCAAATTTACGAAGTTTGTCAAGATTGGAAGACATCGACATTTGCGAGGCTGCAAATCTCTGCTGATGCTTGGTGACTTTTATTCAAAATTTGAGTGTTTTCCTCACCCAGTGGGTCAGAAAAGGCCAAATTTATGAAGTTTCTCAAGTTTGGAAGATGTTGACATCTTCCAAAGTTGAGAAACTTCCAAAATTCGGCCTTTTCTTACGCACCAAGTTAGGAAAATGCTCAAATTTTCAATAAAAGTTGACATCTTCCAAACAGGACAAACTTTCAAAGTTTGGCCTTTTCTCACTTGTTGGGTGAGGAAAACGTTCAAATTTTCGAAAACACTCAACATCTTCCAAACTGGACAAACTCCCAAAATTTGGCCTTTTCTGACCTACCAGGTTAGGAAAATGCTCAAATTTTCAATAAAAGTCACCATGCATCAGCAGAGATTTGCAGCACCAGATCAATAAAAGTCAATGTCTTCCAATCTTGACAATTTTTGAAAATTTGGCCTTTTTAGACTTGCCGGGTGAGGAAAATGCTCAAATTTTCAAAAAAACACATCTTCCAAACTTGACAATTTTTAAAAACATGGCCTTTTCTGACCCGCCGGGCCAGAAAAACTCGACATCTTCCAAAGTCTAGAAACTTCCAAAATCTGGCCTTTTTAGACCCGCAAGGTTAGGAAAATGCTCAGATTTTTAATAAAAGTCGCCATGCATCCGCAGAGATTTGCAGCACCGCAGCATCGCAGCAATGCACCAAGCAAAGATTCGCAACACCAGATCAATAAAAGTAGATGTCTTCCAATCTTGACGATCTTCATAAATTTGGCCTTTTCTGACCTGCCGAGTGAGGAAAACACTCAAATATTCGAAAAAACTCGACATCTTCCAAACTTGACGATATTCAAAATTTCACCTTTTCTGACCCGCCGGGTGAGGCAAATGCTCAAAAAAACATCTTCCAACGTTGAGCACCTCAATATCTTCTAAACTTGTCAATTTTAAAAATTTGGTGTTTTCTGACCTGCCGGATGAGGAAAATGCTCAAATTTTTGAAAATACTCAACCTCTTCCAAACTTGACGATTTTCCAAAATTTGTTGTTTTCTGACCTGCCGGGGGAGCAAAATGCTCACATTTTCTTAAAAAAAACAACACCTTCCAAATGACGATATTCAAAAATTTGGCCTTTTCTGACCCGCCAGAGTGAACTATAAATCCCAGTACCTACAACTCCAAAGTCATGCCAGCCACATGACCTTGGAGGTGTCTACGGACAACGCTGGCTCTTCGGCTTAGAAATGGAGATGAGCACCACACCCCAGAGTCAGACATGACTGGACTTAATGTCAGGGGGCTACCTTTACCTTTTTACAACTCCAAAATGTCCAGGCCAATTCCCCTCAAAGCCCACCAGTATTCAAATTTCGGTCCAGATCCATCGTTTGGTTTCACAGTGCACTGGATGCTTGTGAACGACAACTCCTGTAAATTCCTCCAAAGACCTCTAGTAGGTTTTGTTGGTCATGGGGCTAACTTGTGTGGCAAGTTAGTTCCAGGTCCATCGTTGGTGGAGCTCTGAGTGCAGTTCTTAGATTGCAGGTGGACTATACATCTCAGTATCTACTTCTATAAATCATGGTGAATTCTCCCTAAACCTCTCTAGTATGTTCAGTTGCTGATCAATTCCTGTTTGTTGTGTGGAAAAGGAAGGGATTAAGGGAGTAGTAGTAGGAGGGGTCACACAAATTCCACACCAATGAAGAGAGTCGGAAACACTGGGATGTCTGTGTTGGAGGAAAAACATATTATCTAGCATGAAATTGTCCCCACATGAAAGCCTTCACTTGGGTGGTGGGCAGAATGATGTTTGTGGGGCTCTTGGACACTATAACCTGCAATGTCATTGGACGGAGGGCCTTTGATGTCTCCTGAGCAGCGGGAGCTATAGCTGATTGTGGAGGCAGGAGCTTGACTGTGTAAGTGGACACCCTCACCACACACACACATACATATTTTCACTTTTATAGAAGTGACAGGAGTCAATTTCTGACAGCATAAAGACATCACAAATTCCCTCCGTGACATCCTGACTGAATCATTCTGGCTGCCTCAGTTTTCTCTCTGTGACATTTTGAACCCAGCAGAGGACGCTGGAAACTTTGTATTGGAACTTGTGAAGCAACACGCTCTAATAAGGAAACTGAGAAGAGGGGGGAGATGGGCAGGAAAGGTGTATAAAAGGAAGTAGTGGTGGGAAAAAGTCAGTAGTGTCTTTCTTTGAGGCAGAGAAACAAGCAATATATTCATTTCCAAGCAAAACCAGCTTGTGAGTGATCATTTAATATTGCTATATAAAACCTACAGTCTAACAAGAAGATAGACATGCATTCATTCATTAGCAAGAAACACAATTCAGTGCCAATTTACTAAGAACAAAATCCCTCAAAACAAGGGAAAGTCCTCAATGGGTATAGGATTACAGCCGAAAAGCGGACTATATTGCATCAAAATCCTCTGGAGGTTTCTAAGCAGAGGCTGGATGGCCATCTGTCAGGAGGATTTTTATTGCGACAGAATAGGTTTGGAATGGATGGCCCTTGTGGTTCTCTTCCAGCTCTAGCATTCTACAATTCCTTCTCTGGAGGCTGGATGGCCATCTGTCGGGAGGGTTTTGATGGTGTCTTCCTCCTTGTAAGGAGGAGGGGGTTGGACTGGATGGCCCTTGGGGGTCCCTTGCGACTCAGCATCCTTTAAAACCAGAAAAGGCTGTTCTGCTCCCGACTACAATGAGCAAAATAACACCCTTCACATCGTAAGGCCGCGGAAGTTGTCAGCCGGCTGTTTCAGTAGTTTTTCGAGGACATTGAGCTCGGCGTCCCGCACCTCGATGTCCTCCGAGGGGGTCCAGGACATGTCCGGCTGCAGTTTGAAGGCCCCAAGGAACTCGCTAGGGCAGCTGGCCCCCCATTCCTGGAAGAAGAGAAGCACCCGTCAAATATGAAAGGATCCTTAGGAGACCACAAGCTGAACACGAGGTAAGCCAACAGTGTGATGCAGCAGCTAAAAAGGCCAATGTGATCCTAGGTTGCATCCATAGGAATCTAGTGTTTAGAATCAAGAGAAGTCCTAGTCCCACTTCGGTCAGACCTGAAAGGGAATAATAACACTAGATTATTTTTATTTTTGGGTAATAAAGGTCATTTTCTAATTGGGGGTTGGTGCTCATCTCCATTTCTAAGCCAAAGAGCTGGCGATGTCCATAGATACCTCCTAGGTCATGTGACCACTGGCATGACTGCATGGGGCACCGTTACCTTCTCGCCGGAGCGGTACCTATTGTTTTATTTACATTTGCATGTTTTCGAATTGCTAGGTTGGCAGAAGCTGGGGCTGATAGTGGGAGCTCATGCTGCTCCCCAGATTCGAACCTGCGACCTTTCGATCAGCAACTTCATCAGCTCAGTGGTTTAACCCACTGCAACACCAGGGGCTTCGCTAGACACCTAGAATCCTAACAACAAGAACTCAAAGGGTTAAGGCAAGACAATGCCTCAGGGCTCAATCGGCCCAGCAGGAAGTGCCCGGATGTGGAAAAAGAGCGTGGAAATCAGAGAGGGAAAGAGGGAGGATGCTTCCTCTTTTGGTTCTCCCTCCTCCTCGTCTTGCCTTTTACACTTATTGCAAATGGAGAGAGAGTTGGGGAGCGCTCCTTTAATTGAAGGGGAAATGCTGGAGGAAAACGGGGGGACATCACTTAAGACTGTCGGCAGGGGCGGCTCACCCATTACGCAAAGTAAGCACTCGCAGTAGAGTTGATTTTGCCAGGAGTGCTCTTGAGGGAAAATAGACCTTGACATATTCGAGTTGTAGTTACTGGGATGTATAGTTCACCTACAATCAAAGATCATTCTGAACTCCACCAATGATGGAATTGAACCAAATATGGCACACAGAACTCCCACGACGAACAGAAAATATATATCAGTGATTGGTTGGGGGGCGGGGGCAAAATACGGTTTGCTTACTGTTGAAAATTACCTAGGGCCGCCATAAGACAAAATGTCAGATAAGTCGATACCAGGCAAGATTCTGGAAAAGATTGTTAAGGAAACAAATGAGGCCATCGCTAATAGTGAACATGGATTTATCAAAAACAAGTCATGCCAGACTAATCTTTTTTCGAGAGAGTTACAAGCTGGGTAGATGCAGGGAATGCCGTGGATGGAGCGTATCTGGATTTCAGTAAGGCCTTCGACAAGGTCCCCCATGACCTTCTGGCAAGGAAACGAGTCCAATGTGGGCTAGGCAAAACTACGGTGAGGCAGATCTGTAATTAGTTAAATGGACGAACCCAGAGGGTGATTTTCACCAAGGCTTCCTACTCTTCATCCTGGAAAGAAGTGGCGAGTGGAGTGCCATCAGGAGGGTTCCGTCCTGGTCCTGGTCCTGTTCAACATCTTTATTAATGACTTAGATCAGTGGTTCTCAACCTGGGGTCCCCAGCCGTTTTACCAGCTGTTAGGATTTCTGGGTGTTGAAGGCCAAAAACATCTGGGGACCCCAGGTTGAGAACCACTGACTTAGATGAAGGGTTAGAAGGCATGATTGTCAAGTTTGCAGACGACACCAAATTGGGAGGGAGAGCCAATACTCCAGAGGACAGGAGCAGAACTCAAAACGATCTTGACAGATTAGAGAGATGATTGGCCAAACCTAACAAAATGAAGTTCAACAGGGACAAATGCAAGATACTCCACTTTGGCAGGAAAAACAAAATGCAAAGATACAGAATGGGGGACAATGCCTGGCTTGAGAGCAGTACGTGTGAAAAAGATCTTGGAGTCCTCGTAGACAGGAAGTTAAACATGAGCCAGGAATGTGATGTGGTGGCAAAAAAGCCAATGGGTTTTTGCCCTGCATCAATAGAGGAGTCTAATGTCTAGATCCAGAGAAGTCATGTTCCCCATGCTCTATTCTGCCTTGGTTAGACCACACCTGGAATATTGGTCTCAGGATGTGAGTGAAGTTAGTGCAAGTCCCATCATCCATCTCCAATTTTTTCCAAACCATACCAGGACGTAAAGTGGGTCATGAGAGGTCTATGTGCCAAGTTTGGTCTTGATCAGTCATTGGTCTCAGAATGTGAGTGAAGGTACTAGAAGTCCCATCATCCATGGTCCATCCTCCTCCAAACTGCAGTAGGATGTCGAGTGGGTCATGGGGGCTCTGTGTGCCAAGTGTGGTCTGTATTAGTAATTTTCTGACACAGCCTAAGGCCCTTTTTCTCTGCTCTCTTGTCACCTCAGAATCTTAGAACTTTCAGGCTGGCCAATCAGAGACCATATACAAATAGTACCACAGTGGCAGCCAATCAGAAAGCAGGCACATACACCGCCCTACGTCCGCCGCACTTCCGTCCGCTGCACTTCCATCCGCTGCATACAAACACTGACTTTTATTATATACATAGATATAAAGATATAGATTTTATTGACCTGCCACAATCTGAAAGGAGAGGCAAATGATACATTTTTTATTTATTATTATTATTATTATTATTAAACTGCTGCATAATAAATATAATTGGCAAGTAATAAATATAATTGGGTTGAGTTTTCCAGGCTGTCTGGCCATGTTCCAGAAGCATACTCTCCTGACATTTTGCCTACATTCTCAGAGGTTGTGAGGTCTGTTGGAAACTAGGAAAATAGGGTTTATGTATCTGTGGAATAATGTCCAGGATGGGAGAAAGAACTCTTGTCTGCTTGAGGGAAGTGTGAATATTATTTACCTGCTTTGATACAAAAGGAGAGGCAGGTAAATATACTATTATTATTATTATTATTATTATTATTATTATTATAATACCTTCAAAAGGAGATGCAGGATATATATATATATATATATATATATATATATATATATATATATAGTGGAAATCCCTCTATTATTCATTCTCTGGAGATCTTGAAGCGCCAGCTAAGTGGCCAACTGTCAGGGGGGCTCAGATTGTGTCATCCTGCCGAGCAGAAACGGGTTGGGCTGGACGGCCTTTAGGAGTCCCTTCCCACTCTTAAAGAGGCTATGGTTCTACAAACTGAAGAGAGGCAATTGTTCCCAACCTTTGGCGAAAGCATGGAGAAGTAGCGCTGGCCGTTGCCCCGTTTGTAGAGGAAGTAGATACTGCCCGGCCTCTTCACAAAGTTGCAGGAGACGTGGTGCAAGTCGGCGTCGCGGCTGGCGGCCTCCAGGACCTAAAAAGAGCCAGAGGGACATCAAGATTGCACAATTAACATAATCTGATACCACCTTCATGGCTCAATGCTATGGAATCCTGCGATCTGTCATTTCTCAAAGCCTTCTGCTTTTTCTGCCCAAGACTGTTGGTGCCTCCCCAAACAACAACTCGCATGATTCCATGGCATTGGAAGGGAAGGAAGGGTGAAAGGATGGAGAAAGAAGGGAGGGAAGAAGGAAAGGGAGGAAGGATGAAAGGGTGGAAGAGAAGGAGAAAGAGAGAGGGAAAGAAAAAGGAAGAAGGAGGGAAGGAAAGGGAAGGAAGGAAGAAGGAGGGAGGAAGGAAGGAAGGGGAGGAGGAAGGAAGGGGAAGGAAGAAAGGACAAAAGGGTGGAAAAGAAGGAGAAGAGGGAGGGAAGGAGGAAGGAAGAGAGGAAGAAAGAGAAAGGGTGGAAGGGAAGGAAAAGGAAGGAAGGAAGAACAAAGAAGGGAGAAGGAAGGAGGAAAAGGGAGGGAAGAGAAGGAAAGGGAGGAAGATGAAAGGGTGGAAGGGAAGGAGAAAGAGAGAGGAAGGAGAAATGAAAGAGCAGGAAGGGAGGGAGGGAGGGTGAAAGTGTGGAAAGGAAGGAGAAAGAGGGAAGGAAGGAGGAAGGAAAGTGAGGAAGGAAAGAAGAGTGAAATGGTGGTAGGGAAGGAGAAAGAGGGAGGGAAGGAGGAAGGAAGGACAAAAGGGTGGGAAGGAGAAAGGGGAAGGAAAGAGGAAGAGGAAAAGAGAAAGGAAGAAAAAAGGGTGGAAAGGGGGAAAGAAAGGAGAGAGAGGAAGGAAGGACTAAAGGGTATAAAGGAAGCTGAAATAGGGAGAGAAGGAGGAAGGAAAGAGAGGAAGGAAGGACAAAAGTGTGAAAGGGAAAAAGAAAGAGGGAGGGAAGGAGGAAGGAAAGAGAGGAAGGAAGGACAAAACGGTGGAAGGGAAGGAGAGAGAGTGAAGAAAGGAGGAAGGAAAGTGAGGAAGGAAGAGTGAAATGGTGGTAGGGAAGGAGAAAGAGGGAGGGAAGGAGGAAGGAAGGACAAAATAGTGAAAGGGAAGGAGAAAGAGTGAAGGAAAGAGGAAGGAAAAAGAGAAAGGAAGAATAAAAGGGTGGAAAGGGAGGGGAAAGATGGATTGAGGAAGGAGAGAGAGGAAGGAAGGACTAAAGGGTGTAAGTGAAGGAGGAAGGAAAGAGAGGAAGGACAAAAGTGTGAAAGGGAAAGAGAAAGAGGGAGGGAAGGAGGAAGGAAAGAGAGGAAGGAAGGAAGGGTTGACGAGAAGGAGAAAGAGGGAGGGAAGGAGAAAGAAAAGAAAGGAAGGAAGGACAAAAAGGTGGAAGGGAAGGAGAAAGGTGTAAGGGAAGGAGGAAGAGGGAGAGAAGGAGGAAGGAAAGGGAAAAGAGGAAGGAAAGGGAGGAGAAAGAGAGGGAAGTAGGAAGGAAAGAGGGGAAGGAAGGGTGAAAGGGTGGAAAGGAAGGAGAAAGAGGAAGGATAGGATAGAGAGAAAGATAGGGGGGCCTGAGGAAAGAGTCCAAGGGACCATATCCAGCCCCAGGCCTGGATTTGCCCATACCTGCTATAAACGCTAAATTAAAATTAAGCCAAACACTATTTAACAGGACCTTTTTGGGGGGCTAAAAAGTCTTCCCTCGGTTTATATTCGGGTCATGCCGCGGAGCCGGGAGATAAGGCTCCGAAGCATCTGGCCATGGAGGAGGACAAGCAGTGGAGGCAGCACAGAGGCCCCCAGGCGAGGCTCCTAAGCCAGTTCTTTCCCAGTTTCCAGACCCCCCCCCCCTTTCCACGTCAATCTCTCCTCCTTCCCCAGTTGCCCCCTTTCCCACCCCAATATGTCCTACTTTTCAAGCTACCCCATTTCCACCTCATTTCTCCACTTTTTCAAACACCCCATTCTTTCTTTCCCACCCCCTTCCCAAGTCAGTCTTTCCCACTTTTTCTCATTCAGATACACACAGCATTTCCCCAAAATGTATACTGTAGTTAAAATAAATTATGGTGATTATTGTTGTTTTTGTTCTTGCATTTATTATTTTATTATTATTGTTATTATTATTACATGTATTATTTTATTCTATTTATTATTAATACTAATAAATGTATTATTTCTCTCTATTATTGTTATTGCATTTATTATTTTACTCTATTGTTATTATTACATTTATTGTTTTACTCTGTTATTATTATTACATTTATTGTTTTTCTCTATTGTTATTACATTTATTATTTTACTCTAACATTATTGATATTATTACACTTATTATTTTACCCTATTTATTATTATTGTAAGGATATGTAAGCACATTTACATTGAAGAAGGTCAAAATAATAGTTTAATCAGAGTTGGACAGACTTATCTTAAATTACGGATTTATGTAAATACTAGCTGTCCTCTGCCACGCACTGCTGTGGCCCAGTTTGGTGATGTGGAAAATAAAGTAATGAGAAAGTGTTGATTTCTAATATATGTAATTCCTTTATGCTTGCGAGTAAACAGTATTTCTTGTTGTTTCTTTGTCAGTGTTGATGTGGAGAGTGTCTGGTTTGCCTACTCTGGATCATGCAACATATCATTGCCCTTCTTTAAGGGTCTCTTTCAAATCTATGATACTATATCTGTGTGTGAGAATGATATCTATCTCTATCTATGGCTGGATGGCTCTTTGTCAGGAGGGCTCTGATTCCATTTTCTTGCCCTGGTGAAGAGAGTTGGACTGGGTGGCCTTCAGTATTTTCTGTTGGTCATGGAGGTTCTGTGTGGGAAGTTTGCCTCATTTCTGTTGTTTGTGGGTTTCAGAATGCTCTTTAATTGTAGTGAACTATAAATCCCAGTAACTACAAATCCCAAATGTCAAGGTCTATTTCCTCCAAACTCCACCTGTGTTCATTTTTGGGCATATGGAATATTCGTGTCAAGTTTGGTCCAGATCCGTCATTGTTTGAGTCCAAAGTGCTCTCTGGATGTGGGTGAACTATAATTCCCAAACTCAAGGTCGATATCCACCAAACCCTTCCAATTTTTTCTGTTGGTCATGGGAGCCCTGTGTGCTAAGTTTGGCTCAATTCCATCATTGGTGGAGTTCAGATTGCTCAACAATTCCCAAATGACAAAATCAATTCTTTTTTTAGTGAAGGACATACATTGGGTTGTTAGGTGTCTTGTGTCCAAATTTGGTGTCAATTCCCCCAGTGGTTTTTGAGTTCTCTTAATCCCACAAACGAACATTACATTTTTATTTATATAGATTCAAAAACATTTAACCTACTAATGCTTCAACTAATGTAATTTTATTGGTGTTTATTTTTATTTTGATTCTTGAAATTTACCAATAGCTGCTGCATTTTCCACCCTCGGCTTATACTCGAGTCAATAAGTTTTCCCAGTTTTTATGGTAAAATTAGGTGCCTCGGCTTATATCCGGGTTGCCATAAACTCAAGTATATACAGTATATAGTTACAGCCATTAATTCTAAAGCGTAGATCTTTACGTCTCTCCTGGAGATAAAAGCAGAACAGAAATATACCACCACCACCACATTTCTTCAATTGTAAGACCTCATTGGCTGTAAGTCCCACACCCTAATTTCAGTTACAACAACAAAATTTCATTATTATTATTATTTAATTAATTAATTAATTTTATTTGCAGCAAAGGTTGACAACAGGCTACACAATTGGTTGGAAACCCACTCCAACCTGGGCTGGCTTCGAACTCATGACCTTTTGGTCAGAGTGATCTTAATGCAGCTGACACTCAGCCAGCTGCGCCACAATTATTATTATTGTTATTATTATTATTATTATTATTATTATTGCTGTTGTTGTTGTTGTTATTATTATTAGATCCTAGAGCCATATCCCAGCCCACTTATACCTTCCTGGCTTGTTCTTGCAAGTACCGGATCTGTTCGGCGATGACGGTCAAGCGGTTGCAGGCATTCGCACGGACAAAATCGTCAGCCTTAAAAGAGAGAAAGAACAAAAGAAAAGAAATCACTGTACAGACCCACCCAAACACTAAGCAATAGCTTAACTTCCACAGATTAATCCACACTGGAGAATGCATGCAGTTTGACCCCAATTCTATGGCCCTGAGTCAATGCTATGGGATTCTGGGAATTGTAGTCAGAGGCACTGTGAACCAACACGGTTCTATAGTATTGAGCCACGGCACTTATGTATTATATGGACAGCGTAGGCTCATATAACTCCACTGAATTGCATTCTATGGGTCTACACCAGTGGTTCTCAACCTTCCTAATGCTGTGACTCCTTAATAGGGTTCCTCATGTCGTGGTGACTCCCAACCATAAAATTATTTTCATTGCTACTTCATAACTGTAATTTTGCTACTGTTCTGAATCATCATGTAAATATCTGATATGCAAATTTGAATACTGGGGATGTGGGGGGTGGGTTGATTTTGTCACTTGGGAGATGTAGTTGCTGGGATTTATAGTTCACCTACAATCAGAGAGCATTCTGAACTCCACCAACAATGGAATTGAACCAAACTTGGCACAAGAACTGCCATGACCAACAGAAAATACTGGAAGGGTTTGGTGGGCATTGACCTTGAGTTTGGGAGTTGTAGTTCACCTACATCAAGAGAGCGCTGTGGACTCAAACAATGATGCATCTGGACCAAACTTGGCATGAATACTCAATATGGCAAAATATGTGTACACTGGTGGAGTTTGGGGAAAATAGACCTTGAAATTGGGAGTTGTAGCTGCTGGGATTTATAGTTCACCTAAAATCAAAGAACATATGCCTCCAATGATAGAATAGGGCCAAACTTCCCACACAAAACCCCCATGAACAACAGAAAATATTGTGTTTTCGGATTGTCTTTGGCAATTCCTCTGACACCCCCTCGTGACCACCCCCAGGTTGAGAAACGATGGTCTACACTGAGCATAATATAATGCAGTTTCAAACTGCTTTATATGGCAGTGTGGATCCAGCCTCAGTCAAAGGTTTGTTGTACAGTGTTTTTAATTGCTAAAATCCATAAAAACATATCCAAAACTAAAAGCCACAGCACCTCCTGACTTGATTTTAAAAGCCTTCTTTAAATGCCTGGGCATGCATACTCAGCAGCAGAGTAGCACAACAGATGTCTTCATTGTGTCTGGTTGTGATCCCCAGGTTGTGCCAGTCACCTTTTGTATGATATTGTTTCTAGCACCCACAGAAAGTAAGTAAAGCCTGCCCGAATGAAAAGGTTTCAGCTTGCCGGCAGTATTGCATAATGTCATAACTTTCAGAAGAAGTCAGAAAATAATTATTCAGTTACACAACTATTACATATTCAGAAGCAGTTACACAACTTGCTATTAGATAAGGCTTGACGAAGCTACAGAATCAGCAAAAGTGTCAAACTGTAAGAGAGAGAAGGGCAAAGTACAGAGCTGAATGAGAAAAAGTGGTCGGGATTCTTCCTTTGGAATCCCATGAACACATCTCCACGCAAACCCAGGTGTCAAAGCAGAAGTACCGTGGGTTGTTGTGAGTTTTCTGGGCTGTCTGGCCATGTTCCAGGAGAGATCCTGATGTTTCACCCACATCTATGGCAGGAATCCACAGAGATTGTGAGGTCCCTTGAAACAAGGCGAGTGGACTTGATGAACTGGGATTCTGGGAGTTGTAGTTCTATACTGTTATAATAATATAATAACTTAGTTTCTACTGTGCTAATAATATAATAATATTATAACTTAGTTTGTGCTGTGCTAATATGACATATTTTATTTATTTATTTATTTATTTGCTGCATTTGTTGACCGCCGCTCTCAGCCCTAAGGCGACTCGCGGCGGTGTACAACATATAAAAACAGCTTACAAAAAGTACAACAAGAAATCAACATCTCAATAATACACTAATCTAAATTCTAAGTTACACTAACTGATCCGCACCGTCATAACATAGAATCATAACCAGTCTCGTAATCCGTGTTCCGTTCCAGATGTCATTACCAGTCAACGTAGCACTCAGTTAAATGCCTTCTCAAATAGCCAGGTCTTTAGGCTCTTACGGAAAGCCATAAGGGAGGGCGCCTGTCTGATGTCAACAGGGAGGGTGTTCCACAGCCGGGGGGCCACCACTGAGAAGGCCCTCTCTCTCGTCCCCGCCAGACGTGCCTGTGAGGCAGGCGGGATCGAGAGAAGGGCCTCCCCAGACGATCTCAAGGCCCTCGTGGGCTCATAGGCCGAGATGCGGTCCGAAAGGTATTTTGGGCCGGAACCGTTTAGGGCTTTGTAGGATAACACCAGCACCTTAAATTGGGCCCGGTAGCAGATCGGCAGCCAGTGGAGCTGGAACAACAAGGGCGTTGTGTGCTCCCTGCGTCCTGCTCCTGTTAGTAACATGGCTGCCGCGCGCTGGACTAGCTGAAGCTTCCGGGGCGTCTTCAAGGGCAGCCCCACGTAGAGAGCGTTGCAGTAGTCAAGGCGGGATGTGACCAGAGCATGTACCACCATGTAATATTATAGTAATATTATAATGTAATACAATATAATAGTAGTAATAATAAAATATAATAATTATATATTTCATATTGTATGTAATATTACTAATAATATTACAGTATACTGGTATAGTACAATATGGGAATGTATGTTACTAATATTGTGCTAATATGATATATTGTATACACATATAATATTGATAATAATATTATAATAATGTAATACAAAATAATAGTAGTAGTAATAGTACAATATAATAATTATATATTTCATATTACATGTAATATTACTAATAATATTACCGTATACTGGTATAGTTCAATATGGGAATGAATGTTACTAATATTGTGCTAATATGATATATTGTATACACATATATTATTGATAATAATATTATAATGTAATACAATATAATAGTAGTAATAATACAATATAATAATAATTATATATTTCATATTACATGTAATAGTACTAATAATATTACAGTATACTGGTATAGTACAATATGGGAATGTATGTTACTAATATTGTGCTGTGCTAATAATATAATATATTGTATTTACATAGAACTTGTAAGCCGCTCTGAGTCCCCTTCGGGGTGAGACGGGCGGCATATATATGGCGTAAATAAATCAATAATAAAGTAATGTAATTGTAATATAATACATTAATGTAATTGTACTATAATATAATTAATTATAATATAATATAATAATAATATAATATTAATTATAATATAATTAATATAATATAATTATAATTAATTAATATTAATGTAATTGTAATATAATTAATTATAATATAATATAATTGATTATAATATAATATTAACTATAATATAATATAATTAATATAATATAATTAAAATAATTAATATTAATGTAATTGTAATATAATATATTAATGTAATTGTAATATAATATAAATAATTATAATTTAATATAATTAATTATAATATAATATTAATTATAATATAATTAATATAATTAATTATAATGAATATTAATGTAATTGTAATATAATATAATATAATTAATTAATTATAATATAATATTAATTATTATTAATTATAATATAATAAAATAAAAATTAATTAATATTAATGTAATTATAATATAATATATTATACTACATAATATTATAACACACACACATATATATATCAAGGTTGGAGAGAGAGCTCTTGTCTGTTTGCAATTGGCCACCTTGATTGGCACTGAATGGCCTTGCAGCTTCATGGCCTGGCTGCTTCCTGCAACATTCAGACTTGCCTCAAAGAGACAAGAGTTCTTTCTCCCACAGGTATGGATACACTCCACTTGCTTCATTCCCTAAACCACCTCTGATGGTGCCTGCCACAGATGTAGGCGAAACGTCAAGAGAGAATGCTACTGGAACATGTCCAGGCAGCCCGGAAGACTCACAGCAACCCAACAGGCAGTTCCATCTGCGTCATAAGGGCAGTGTAGATAGGGTGTGAGGCTAAATCTAATTGGGAGTCATGGGAGATGATGCTCTCGTCCCTCACCTTCTCCACTTCCTCCGCGAGGGCCACCAGCTCCAAGGCGGGCGCCTTCCTGGCGGCGGGCGTCAACTGGAAGGAGGCCACAGCGCCTCGCTCAGCCACCGCGGAACTTTCCTCCCCGGAACCTTCCGCTCCGGACCGCGTTCCTGCTCGAGCCGCCATCGCTCTTCACCGCCTAAGCCCCGCCCACTCCCCGCCTCCCGGAATTCTTGCTTCTGTACAGGAGGCGTGGCTTCAGGAGGGGAAGCTAGAAGGCCGAATCAGGAGGCGGGGCAGAGTCCTTTCTCCTCCAATCAGGAGTCAGATAGTAAGGCGAAAGGGCCAATCGTGGAAGAGAGAGCAATAATTGGCATGCGGGGGCGTGGACTCCTCCAAGTGGTGCCTAACTTACTTACTTAGGGAATTCCTCCTTGTCCGAGTAGGATAATCGAGTAGGGGCCTCAAGACTCCTACTGAGGGGCCGTGGCTTTACGGAGGGGGCATGTTCTCCAACTGGGGCCTAAATATTTTAATTGTGGGGGTGTGGCTTGATTGAGGGGGCGTAGCTATATACTTTTTTTTTTGTCGTGTCAGGAGCGACTTGAGAAACTGCAAGTCCCTTCTGGTGTGAGAGAATTGGCCGTCTGCAAGGACGTTGCCCAGGGGACGCCCGGATGTTTTATCATCCTTGTGGGAGGCTTCTCTCATGTCCCCGCATGAGGAGCTGGAGCTGGTAGAGGGAGCTCATCCGCCTCTCCCCGGATTTGAACCTGCGACCTGTCGGTCTTCAGTCCTGCCGGCACAGGGGTTTAACCCACTGCGCCACCGGGGGCTCCAACTGTGGAAATGACTCCTATTGAGGGGGCGTGGCTTGATTGAGGGGGCGTGCCCTCCAACGGGGCCCGAGACATTCTAATTGAAGGGGCGTGGCTTGATCGGGGGGCGTGGCTGCCAACTGGGGCGAAAGACTCTGATGGAGGGGGCGTGGCTTGATTGAGGGGGCGTGCCCTCCAACGGGACTCGAGACATTCTAATTGAGGGGGCGTGGCTTGATAGGGGCGTGGCTTCTAACTGGGCCGAAAGACTCTGATGGAGGGGGCGTGGCTTGATTGAGGGGGCGTGCCCTCCAACGGGGCCCGAGACATTCTAATTGAAGGGGCGTGGCTTGATCGGGGGGCGTGGCTGCCAACTGGGGCGAAAGACTCTGATGGAGGGGGCGTGGCTTGATTGAGGGGGCGTGCCCTCCAACGGGACTCGAGACATTCTAATTGAGGGGGCGTGGCTTGATAGGGGCGTGGCTTCTAACTGGGCCGAAAGACTCTGATGGAGGGGGCGTGGCTTGATTGAGGGGGCGTGCCCTCCAACGGGGCCCGAGACATTCTAATTGAGGGGGCGTGGCTTCCAACTGGGCTTAAAAGACTCCGATTGAAGGGGCGTGGCTTGATCGAGGGGGCGTGCCTTCCAACTAGGGTCTAAGGCTCCTATTGAGGGGGCGTGGCTTGATCGAGGGGCGTGCACACCAACTCGGGCCTAAATATTTTAATTGAGGGGCGTGGCTTATAGAGGGGGCGTGGCTTCCAACTGGGGTCTAAAAGACTTTATCGAGGGGGCGTGGCTTGATCGAGGGGCGTATGTACCAACCGGGGCCTAAAAGTCAAGTCTCCTATCGAGGGGGCGCGGCTTGATCGAGTGGGCGTGCCCTCCTCCCGCACGGAATGTGTTGGCGAGGGCGTGTCCTGTGCGGCGGGGGCGTGGCTTCCCCCCCCCCCCCTTTCTCTCTCTCTCTCTCCGCCTGGCCATGGCGCGCCCGCTCCTGCTCCTGCCGCTGCTGCTCCTGGCCTCCTCCTCCTCCTGGTGGTCCCGGTCGTGGGCGCATCCCTCTGCGGACGCGCTGCTGTCCTCGGGGGCGGAGGCGTACTCGCGGGGCGAGTGGCCGGCCGTGATCCTGTCCATGGAGCGGGCGCTGCGGGCGCGGGAAGGGCACCGGGCGCGGGCGGCGGGCTCCCGGCGGCGCTGCGCGGAGGAGGAGCCCTGGGGCGCCCAGGAGGAGCGGGACCCGCTGCTGGCCTTCCGCCGCCTCCTCCGCCGCGCCGCCTGCCTCCGCCGGGAGGGCGATGGCGGGGCCGCCTCCCGCTCCCAGCTGGGCGAAGAGGCCGAGCTCGAGTTCCGCAAGAGGAGCCCCTACAACTACCTCCAGGTCGCCTACTTCAAGGTCTGGACCGGCCCTGGGAGGGAAGGCCTCCCTCCCCATGCCTCCCGCTCTCTTTCTGGGGCTCTTCCCCTGTTTCTATCCACCTTTCTATCCCTGTGACATCCCAGAGGGGGCCGCTTCACCTGGCCACTTCACCTAGGTTGTTCTGTAGGAAAAAACACTGGGATTCTAGGAGTTGTATGTAAAGGTAAAGGTTTCCCTTGACTTTAAGTCCAGTCGAGTCCGACTCTGGGATGTGGTGCTCATCTCGATTTCCAAGCCGAAGAGCCGGCCTTGTCCGCAGACGCCTCCAAGGTCACGTGGCCGGCATGACTTCCTGGTGCACCATTATCTTCCCACCTGAGTGGTTCTTATTGATCTACTTCTCTTTTTGGGGCTCTTCTCCTGTTTCTATCCACCTTTCTATCCCTGTGACATCCCAGAGGGGGCCACTTCACCTGGCCACTTCACCTAAGTTGCGCTGTAGAAAAAACCCCACGGTTTGAGCCCCACTTAATGAACTGGGATTCTGGGAGTTGTGTGTAAAGGTTTCCCTTCACATTAAGTCCAGTCGTGTCCGACTCTGACGTTGGTACTCATCTCCATTTCTAAGCCGAAGAGCCGGCGTTGTCCGCAGACGCCTCCAAGGTCATGTGGCCGGCATGGCTTCATGGAGCGCCTTTACCTTCCCGCCTGAGCGGTACCTAGAATCCTAGAGTTGGAAGAGACCTCATGGGCCATGCAGTCCAACCCCCTTCTGCCAAGAAGCAGGAATATTGCATTCAAAGCACCCCCAACAGATGGTCATCCAGCCTCTGTTTAGAAGCTTCTAAAGAAGGAGCCTCCACCACACTCCAGGGCAGAATTGATCTACGTATTGATCTACTTGCATTTGTGTGTTTTCGAACTGCTCGGTTGGCACAAGCTGGGGCTGACCGCTCCCAGATTTGAACCGCCGACCTTTCAGTCAGCAAGTTCAACCCCACTTGACGAACTGGGATTCTGGGAGTTGTAGTTCTATATTGTTATAATAATATAATAATATTATAACTTAGTTTGTGCTGTGCTAATATGATATACTATATAAGGTAAAGGTTTTCCCTGACATTAAGTCCAGTCATGTCTGACTCTAAGGTATGCTCATCTCCATTTCTAAGCCGGCGTTGTCCATAGTCACCTCCAAGGTCATGTGACCAGCATGACTGCATGGAGCGCCATTACCTTCCTGCCGGAGCAGTACCTATTGATCTACTCACATTTGCATGTTTTCAAACTGCTAGGTTGGCAGAAGCTGGGGCTGACAGCGGAAGCTCACACCACCCAAATTTCGGTCAACAAGCTCAGCAGCTCAGCGCTTTAACCCACTGAGCCATTATAATAATATTATAATGTAATACAAGATAATAGTAATAATAATACAATATAATAATTATATATTTCATATTACATGTAATACTACTAATAATATTACAGTATACTGGTATAGTACAATATGAGAATGTATGTTACTAATATTATGCTATGCTGATAATATAATATATTGTATTTACCTATAACTTGTAAGCCGCTCTGAGTCCCCTTTGGGGTGAGAAGGGCGGCATATAAATGGCGTAAATAAATAAATAAAAATAGATTAATGTAACTGTAATATAATATATTATAATACATAATATTATAACACATATATATCAATATATTTTTCTATTACAACATATATAATATAATAACATAATATAACAACATATGATATAATAATAAATAATATAATACACATACATATAAATAATATATTGTGACATATACAATACAATTATCATATAATAATATAACATTAATATAATTATGATAAAATATTACAATATATAATAATCTCTCTCTGTGTGTATATAGTCAGGAGCGACTTGTGAAACTGCAAGTTGCTTCTGGTGTGAGAGAATTGGCCGTCTGCAAGGATGTTGCCCAGGGGATGCCAGGATGTTTTGATGTTTTATCATCCTTGTGGGAGGCTTCTCTCATGTCCCCGGATAGGGAGCTGGAGCTGACAGAGGGAGCTCATCTGCACTCTCCCCAGATTCGAACTTGTTCATCTTCATTCCTGCTGAATGAGTTAATCCCATGTGCCACTGGGGGCTCCTATACACACATATAAATATAATATATATTATAGCATATATAATATAATATCATAGTATAATATAATATAATAATATATAATAGTATAACACACATATGAATAGAATATATTCTATTATAACATGTATAATATAATCATACTATAACATAATGTAATTATAATTAAATTTGTAATTAAAATATAATTATTAATATAATTATAATATAAACTAATATTATAACACACACACATGTATATATTTATATAACTATAACATATTCTATTATGGCATATATAATAGAATCATAATATAATAACATATATACATATAAATATAATATATTATAGTATATATGTCATAATATAATAACATATATTAATATTAGTATAATGTATACCTCTATTATAACACACACACATATAAATATAACATATTCTGTTATGGCATATATAATATAATAATACAATAACATATACTACTATTATAAAACATATCAATATAATATATTTTATTGTGGCATACATAATCATAATATAAGAGTGTAATACAATAATTATTACAATATAACATTATACAATAATATTATAACACACATATATAAATATAATCTATGAAAACATATGTAATATATGATAATATATGGTACATTACTATGGATTATGATTTCGGACCGACATGCTTTGATTTTAAATGCTTATTTACATGTATTTAAATGCACAATGTATTTCCTGTTTTTTACGTCTTAATGTGGTATTGAATAATTATTGAATTATTGCCAACTTGAAAGTCGCTCTGAATCCTCTTCGCGGTTGAGATAGAGCAGGGGAAAAATATGGTAAATTAAACAAACAAATAAATACATGCACACACACACACACACACAAACTGTTGGGTCTGCAGCCCTACAAAAACAAGCCAAGGCCAGTCCAGCCATCGGCAAGCCATCCCTTGCTTTGCTTTGCCACATCTTTCTCCCTAGGAAACTCTCCTCCCTTTGTATTGTCGAAGGCTTTCATGGCTGGAATCACTAGGTTCTTGTGGGTTTTTTCGGGCTATAGAGCCATGTTCTAGAGGCATTTCTCCTGACGTTTCGCCTGCATCTATGGCAAGCATCCTCAGAGGTTGAGAAGGTCAACCTCTCCTCCCTTTTTCCTCCCTTTCTCCGCTCTTTCCTTTTCCTCTCCGTCTCCTTCCTAAGGAGGGGCCAATGTGCCACGTAGGGAAGAAGAAGAAGAAGGGGCTGCAGCAAATCCCTTTCTTCCAGATGGTCTCAGGTTTCAGACCCAGAGTTGGAAGAGCCAACATGCATGGATCCGGCTCCCTTGCTTGCCTTCCATCGCTGCTTCAGAAGCAAAAATGCGTATTTTGTTGCTACCTTTAGGCTTTCCCAATAAGTTATGTATTTTTAATGTTTATTTTCGTATTTATTATTTTTCATTATACACAAGTCTCAAAACAAATACAGGCATGTGCAAACTTTCTCACTTGGGGGCTGCATGCTAGCACTCTCTGTAAAGAGAATTGGCTGTCCCGTGATGGAAGGAGGAAGGAAGGACAAAAGGGAGGAAGGCTGGAAGGAGAAAGGAGGGAGGGAAGAAAGGAAAAGAAGGGAAGGGAAAAGAAAGGAGAAAAACACAAGGGAGGGGGAGAAAAGAAAAAAAAGGGAAGGAAGGGAGAGAGAGAAAGGAAAGTGGGGAGAGATATTTGGAGAAGGAATGAAAGAATGAGAAAGAAGGGAAGAGAAAGGGAAGGAAGAAGTTTTGAAGGGAAAAAATGAAGTAGAACAGAAGGGAGAGAAAGAAAAAGGGAAACGGGGGGGGGAGGGGGAGAGAAAGGAAAGGGGAAGAGGGAGAAGGAGGAAAGAATGAGAAAAGAAGGGAAAGAGAAAAGGGAAGGGATGTTGAAGGGAGGGAAGAAAGAAAAAGAAGGGAAAGGAAAAGAAAGGAGTAGAAAAGAAGGGGGAGAAAGAAAGGAAAGTGGAAAGAGGTATTTGGAGAAGGAAGGAAAGAACGAGAAAGAAGGTTAGAAAAAGGAAAGGAAGGAAGAAGTGTTAAAGGGAGGGAAGAAAGAAAAAAAGGACTAGAACAGAAGGGGGAGAAAGAAAAAGGGAAGGAGGGGGGAGAGAATGGAAAGTCGGGAGAGGTATTTGGAGAAGGAAGGAAAGAACGAGAAAGAAGGAAAGAGAAAGGGAAGATAAGGAAGAAATGTTGAAGGGAGGGAAGAAAGAAAAAGAAGGGAAAGGAAAAGAAGGGAGTAGAACAGAAGGGGGAGAAAGAAAAAGGGAAGGAGGGGGAGAGAGAAAGAAAAGTGGGGAGAGGTATTTGGAGAAGGAAGGAAAGAACGAGAAAGAGGGTTAGAGAAAGGAAAGGAAGGAAGAAGTGTTAAAGGGAGGGAAGAAAGAAAAAAAGGACTAGAACAGAAGGGGGAGAAAGAAAAAAGGAAGGAGGGGGGAGAGAATGGAAAGTCGGGAGAGGTATTTGGAGAAGGAAGGAAAGAATGAGAAAGAAGAAGAGAAAGGGAAGGTAAGGAAGAAATGTTGAAGGGAGGGAAGAAAGAAAAAGAAGGGAAAGGAAAAGAAAGGAGTAGAACAGAAAGGGGAGAAAGAAAAAGGGAAGGGGGGAGAGAAAGAAAAGTGGGGAGAGGTATTTGGAGAAGGAAAGAACGAGAAAGAAGGGAAAAGGAAGGGAAGGAAGAAGTGTTGAAGGGAGGGAAGAAAGAAAGAAAAAGAAGGGAAAGAAACAAATTGTTAACATCAAATAAAAATAATTGAGAAACGAATAAAATGCAAATAAGGCTACTAACCCCAAGGCTTTTCCTTGTCTTTCTTTGCTCAGATGAACAAGCTCGACAAAGCCGTGGCGGCCGCCTACACCTTCTTTGTGGCCAATCCGGACCACATGGAGATGAAGCAGAACCTGGAGTATTACCAGATGATGGCTGGCGTCAAGGACTCGGACTTTGTGGACTTGGAAGCCAAGCCACACATGGTAGGATACAGCCACACTGTGCAATAAATACAGTCTGACTCCACTTGCACTACCAGGGCTCATTACAATGGGATCGTAGGAGTTTTGTCCACAGACTGCTGGGGCCACCACCAAACTATAACTCTTATGATCCCATAGCATTGAGCCAAGACAACTACAAATCCCACTATGATGAGTCAGTTCCCTCAAACCCCTTCAGTAGGTTGAGTCAGTCATTGGAGGGGGGGGGGGGTCTGTGTGCCAAGTTTGGTCCAGGTCCATCATGGTGGAGGTCACAGTTTCCTGGTTGTGGGTGAACTACAACTCCCAGAAAGGAAGGTCAGTCCCCCCCCCCCCCAAACCCCTCCAGTAATCAAATGCTGACATATCAGATATGTGTGCCAAGTTTGGTCAAGATCCATCAGTGTTTGGGTTCACAATGCTCTCTGGATGTAAGTGAACTACAACTCCCCTAAATCGAAGTGAATTTTCCCCAAAGACCTCCAGTATTATTTGCTGGTCATGGGGCTCTGTCTGCCAAGATTGGTCCAATTCCGTCTTTGGTGGAGTTCAGAGTGCTCATTGATTGCAGGTGAACTATAAATCCTACAACTCAAAAATGTCTAGGCCAATTCCCCTCAAAACCCACCTGTATTCAAATTTGGGCATATTGGGTATGCATGTCTAGTTTGGTCTATATCCATCATTGTTTGGGTTCATAATGCTCTCTGGATGTTGGTGAACTACAACTCCTATAAATCCCTCCAGTATTTTTTTTTCTTGTCATGGGGATTCTGTGTGCTAAGTTAGTTCCAGGTCCATCGCAGTGGAGTCCAGAGTTTTCTTGGATTGCAGGTGAACTATACATCCCAGGACCTACAACTCCTATAAATCATGGGGAATTCTCCCCAAAGCTCTCTAGTGTGTTCAATCCTTTATTTGCTGTGTGTCATACAAAAGAATAGGAAAGATTAAGGGAGAGGCAGTGGGCGGGGTCATGCAAATTCTACACCAATGGGGAGAGTCAGAAACACTGGGATGTCTGTGGTGGAGGAAACACATAAAATATGGGATGAAATTGTCCCTGCATGAAAGCCTTCGCTTAGATGGTGGGCAAGTATGGGGTTTGTGGAGGACCTTGGTAGGGCTCTTGGGCATGTTCATGGCACTCATTATAACCTGCAATGTCATTGGAGGGAGGGCCTTTTGTGTCTCCTGAGTGGTGTTTGTGGAGGCAGGAGCTTGTCTGTGTAAGTGGACACCCCAACCACATGCACACATACATATTTTCAGTTTGTGTACGTATATATTATTATGTGTGCGTGTATACACACACATACTAGCTGTACCCGCCACGCATTGCTGTGGCCAACCTTCCCTCCCTCTTTCTCTCCTTCCTTCCTTCCCTCCCTCCCTCTTTCCTTCCTTCCCCCCTTTTTCTGTATTGTCATTTAGATTTTTTGGGGTTTTTAAGTGCTTTCTGCTCCTTTTTGGGCGAGGTTATAAGTGATGGTCACTTGTTGGTCTGATAAGGGCGTAGTTTCCAAATTTGGTGTCAATTCATCCAGTGGTTTTTGAATTATCCCACAAACTAACATTACATTTTATATATATACCTGAGTATAAGCCGACCCGAATATAAGCCGAGGCACCTAATTTGATCACAAAAAAACTGGGAAAACGTATTGACTCGAGTATAAGCCGAGGGTGGGAAATGCATCCACTATGGGTCAATTTCGAAATAAAAATAGATACCAATAAAATTACATTAATGGAGGCATCAGTAGGCTAAAGGTTTTTGAATATTTACATAAAACTGTAATTTAAGATAAGACGGCCCAATTCTTATTAAACCATTATTCTAACCTCCTCCTTTAATGTAAATGTACTTATTATTAAAATAATAAATATAATAAAAATAATAGAGTAAAATAATAAATGTAGTAATAATAGGGTAACATACTGTAAATGTAATAATAATAATAAATAGATTAAAATAATAAATGTAAATAATAATAATAATAATAATAGGGTAAAATATTGTAAATGTAATAATAATAACAATAGAGCAAAGTAATGTAAATATTATAATAGTAGAATAAAATAATTAATGTAGTAAAATAGCACTAATAAGAGAGTCAAAGAATAAATAACCTTGACTCGAGTATAAGCCGAGGAGAGCTTTTTCAGCCTAAAAAGGGGGCTGAAAACTAGCCTTATACTCAAAAAACCAATGTGATTCTAGGCTGCATCAGTAGGAGCCTAGTGATGAGATGGACGGAAGTCATTGCCTCACTCTTCTTCTGCTTTGGTCAGACCTCACTGGGAATAATATTGTGTCCTTGGACACTATGACTATGGGGGACACCCTCTCTCTTGTGGCTTTTTCCATAGGAAGAATTCCGCCTGGGAGTCGGCTATTACACGGAGGAGAAGCCGCAGGCAGCCGTCTTGCACCTGGAAAAGGCTCTGGAAGCCTATTGGGAGGCCGACGCCGAGTGCCGGGCCCTTTGTGAAGGGCCTTACGATTACGAAGGATACAACTATTTGGAATACGCGGCTGACCTGTACCAAGCCATGGTTGGTGAGCTCCGTGTCACATTGGGTGCATCTTCCCTGTAGAGTGAATGAACACAGTTCAGTATCAGAAAGGATGTCATAAGGAAAAGGAGGCAGGCTTCCTTTCTGGCAAAGTAGGTTCAATGCAGGAATGGATGGCCATCTGTCAGGAGTGCTTTAATTGTGCTTTTCCTTCCTGGCAGAGCTGGGGTTGGATTTGATGGCCTTTGGGGGTCTCTTCCAACTCCGTGATTGTATGATTCTAGGAAACTCTGGGATTGAACATGATTTTTGTTCCTGGGTTATAAATGCCCTTGCCTAATTGGTTCTATCAAGAGTCCAAATCAAACCCAACTTTCCCCAGATCCAACCCCTATTTCACCATCAATAATAATAATAATAATAATAATAATAATAATAATCTATCTATCTATACACTTAATAAAACTGAAAATATGTATATGTGTGTGTGTTTGTGCCTGAGGTGTCCACTTACACAACTAACCCAACTCAATTTAAATATAATACTCAATAAAATGCAGCAATAGCTACTCATTAAAATGAGCAGTGCATTTTATGGGCAGTACCTAGTTCTGCCAGGCAGGAAAAACACCATCAAAACCTTCCTGACAGATGGCCAATAATTGAATCTGGCTTGGACTTTATTAGAATAAAAAACTCCCATCGTTTGCCTTCCTTTTTCCAGACCATTACATGCAAGTATTGAGCTGCAAGCAAAGCTGTTCCTCGGAGCTGGCCTCCCAACCGGGGCGAGACAAACCCCTCGAAGACTTCCTCCCGTCGCATTTCAACTACCTCCAGTTTGCGTACTACAACAGTGAGTAGAAGGGAATGCTTCATCACCCCCCCCCCCCCCCCGCCTTTCCTCCTTTGGGGTGCTCACATGCCCTCGAGGGGGACCTCTACACTGTAGATTTGAGTCTCCTTGCTGGAGAGAAAAGCGGGGTATAAACAAACAATAATATTTTTACTATTTATTTACTCAATGTTAGTCCTTTAGAGTGAGATGGAATTTGGAAAATGCATGAACCCAAAATGGTATTGAAAAGCTAGAATTGGATCACCTCACTACCTCTGAGGATGCTTGCCATAGATGCAGGCGAAACGTCAGGAGAGAATGCCTCTAGTCTAGACCATGGCCATATAGCCCGAAAAAACCTACAACCTAGAATTGGATCCTTTTTTTAGACCATTACTTTTCTCCAACAGGGGGCGCCCTTTTCCTTCCATTTTTAAAATAAGCTAATAATACAGCTCTTACCTTTAAAATAAAGTCATTTTCTGGATCTAACCATTGACACAAATATATTATTAATTATATTGCTATTATAGTTAATTAATTATATCATTATTGTGTTGTCGAATGCTTTCATGGCCAGAACCACTGGGTTATTGTGAGTTTTCTGGGCTGTCTGGCCATATTCCGGGAGCATTCTCTCCTGACATTTCACCCACATCTATGGCAGGCATCCTCAGAGGTTGTGAGGTGTGTTGAAAACTATGCAAGCGGAATAGTGCCCAGGGTGGATTTTCTTAGTGGGTCTGGAGATTGTTTGTAGGTTGTGTTTCTTCCTCAGCTTCCTTATGTGGTCAATAACACTTTTCCTCTGGGTGAGTCTTTGTCTTGACTCTTGTGGCTTGTTTTCGGTTTTGCAGCTTTTCTAGTGTCTATGGTGGAGTCTCCATTGGCCTGGAGAGCCCAGTTTAGGTGGTTCGGTTTGTGTTGGAGGAGGTGGGGTTCGCAGATTCTCTTTGCATGGTCTGCCAGGGCTTTAATTGTGCTTCTTTTTTTGACTTGGGTGATGGTTGGAGTTTTTAAGTAGGTGTCTATCCGTATGTGTAGATTTTCTATAAACCGTGTGGCTCAATTGTTGATTGGGTTTGCGGATGACTAGGACATCTAGAAATGGCAGTTTTCATTCATTTTCTTTTTCTGTGGTTAATTGCATGTTAAGGTGGATGCCGTTAAGTTGGTCTAGGAACTTGTTGAGTTCTTCTCCTCCATGGCTCCAAATGGTGAAGGTGTCATCCACATATCTGAACCATATCGTGGGATTTTTGGTACTGTTTCAAGGGCTTCAGTGTAGAAATTTGTTATAACCGGGCTATGCTACTCCACCTTTCTGTTCATAGAATTCATTGTCCCACCGGAAGTAGCTTGTGGGCTGTGATGTCTTCTGGGAAATTCTGGTTGATGAGTACGATGATGTCTGCTACTCGGACCTTGGTCAATAGAGATACTACATCAAAGTTGGTTTGTCATTGGTGTTGAGTTTGAGATTGCTGATTTTTTCTTTGAAGTGAGCTGAGTCCTTGATGTAATTTGTAGTGTGAGCCCAATATGGGTTTGTTGCTCTATATCATTATTATGTTCTCATACTCTAATATTGTGTGTGTGTATATATAGTAATTATATTATTAGAATAGTATAATATATGATTAATTAAATCAATTATATTATTAGAATATACATAATATATATAATACTAGCTGTGCCCTGCCACGCGTTGTTGTGGCCTATAGTAAGGGTTTTGAAGTCTCTGCCTGGCCTCACTTCCTCCTTTCTTCTCTCTTCCTTCCTTCTCTTGTTTTCTTTCCCCCTTTCTCTCTCACACACTCCTTCCTTTCCCCTCTTTCTCTCACTCTCTCGCATCCCTCCTTCCTCCCCCTTCTTTATGCTTGTGTGTAAACTTGAGTATTTTCTGTTGGTCATGGGGGTTCAGTGTGGCAAGTTTGCCCCAATTCTGTCGTTGGTGGGGTTCAGGATTCTCTTTGAGTGTAGGTGAACTGTGAATCCCAGTGACTACAACTCCCAAATGTCAAGGTCTATTTCCCCCAAACTCCATCTGTGTTCACATTTGGGCGTGTTGAATGCTTATGCCAAGTTTGGTCCGGATCCATCATTGTTTGAGTCCACTTGCTTACTGAAAGGTTGCAGGTTCGAATCCAGGGAGCAGTGTGAGCTCCGGCTGTTAGCCCCAGCTTCTGCCAACTTAGCAGTTTGAAAACATGCAAATGTGAGTAGATCAGTAGGTAGCACTCCAGTGGGAAGGTAGCGGCACTCAATGCAGTCATGCTGGCCACATGACCTTGGAGGTGTCTATGGACAACGGAGGCTCTTCGGCTTAGAAATGGAGATGAGCACCGTTGCCCTCAGAGTCGGACACAACTGGACTTAATGTCAAGGGGAAACCTTTACCTTTAAGTTAATTAGTCCAGGACTCATTTTGATAAAGAGTCATCTGATATATGGAATAATATATACATGCATAAAATATAAAAATATACAATAATTGATATAAATTAATATATCAATATTCATATTATTTTTATATCTATCTGTTTATCTATACAAATAATTGATATCAAATAATAATAATAATACAGGCAGTCCCTAAATTACAAACATCTGACTTACGAATGACTCATAGTTAAGAACGAAGTTGAGACAACAGGAAGTGAGAGGAATTTCCCTCTTGGAAAGGAAATTCACTCCTGGAAGAGTTATTATGGAGAAAAGGAGTCTCCTCTGAAGCTTTATCTCCAATTCTTTGTTTCCACAAGAAGTCAAATTTTGTAAAATCCAATTCTCACAGAGAGGGGAGGTAAGGTGAAATCTTGATTCCATGGCCTAGAGCCAGGGCAGCTCAATTGGGGCCAAGTAGAGATGTACTTGCAATGCCTTCCATCTGATGTTCTCCCCTTTGCAGGCGGTGACTATGAGAAGGCCATTGAGTGCGCCAAGACATTCCTGCTCTTTTCCCCCGATGATGAAGTCATGAAGCAGAACCTGGCCTATTACACCGCGGTGCTTGGAGAGGAGCTGGCGAAAAACATACGTCCCAGAGAGGTAAGCATGGCCTCCTCCTGTTACTGGCCTTCTTCCTCCTTTGGATCAACAAATACGACACTGGCCAACACACGTTGTTGTTGCTGCCGCTGTTGTTGTTGTTATGTGAAGATTAAGTATTCTCTCACTGATCTCATATCCATCCCAACTATCAGAGAAGTCAGAGTCATTAGAAGGCAACTCCAACTTCAAAATATTTATTGATCGTATCAAAAGCAAATTGAGAATACAGTTATAATATTTTTAAAAAAACAAAGTTAAAAACATTATACTAGATTTTTTAAATCAGAAGCTGGCCTCTGCTGTCACTGTGAGAAGGTCCTTCATTGTGCATGCCGCAGGGCTCAGACCACATTGTAGTAGGTGGTCTGTGGTTTGCTCTTCTCCACACTTGCATCTCGAGGTGCCAGAATGCAGTCTGTTCTGTGCCTTCCAAATTGCCCAGTCTTCTGTGTACCCAGGAGGGAGTTTCTCATCTGGTCTTAGCCAGTGATTGAGTTTCTGGGTTTTAGCCTGCCACTTTTGGACTCTCACTTGCTGATGTGTTCCTGCAAGTATCTCTGTAGATCTTTCAAAGCTGTTTCCTGATTTAAGACATTGGATTGCTGGCTGATATACAAACAAGGGATGGGCCAGCGATGACATTTCCTTGGTCCTTTCATTATTGGCTGATACTTCCTGGAGGATATCAGGTGGTGCAATACTGGCTAGACAGTACAATTTCTCCAGCGGTGTAAGACATAGACATCCTGTGATAATGCAGCATGTCTGATTAAGAGCCACATCCACTGTATTAACGTGGTGAGATGTATTCCACACTGGGCATGCAGGAGAGTAGTATAGCACAAGGGCAGATGTCTTCACTGTGTCTGATTGTGATCCCCAGGTTGTGCTAGTCAGCTTTCATATGATATTATTTCTAGTGCTCACTTTTTGCTTGATATTCAAGCAGTACTTCTTGTAGGTCAGAGCACGGCCCAGAGTGACTCCCAGGTATCTGGGTGTGCTGCAATGCTCAGTGAGATTCCTTCCCAGGTCATCCCCGGAGTTCGAGGTGCTTGTCTGTTCTTAAGATGAAAAGCACACGTCTGTGTTTTAGATGGATTAGGGATCAGCTGGTTTTCCCTGTAATAGGCAGTAAGAGCACCCAAAGCTTTGGAGAGTTTCTCTTCAACCATTTCAATGCTCCCTGCATGAGTGATGATGTCATGATCATCAGCATAGATGAAACTCTCTGTCCCTTCTGGCAGTGGCTGGTCATTTGTGTAAATGTTAAACACTGATGGCGCAAGCAAGTTCCCCGAAGGCAGGCCATTCTTCTGTTTTTGCTATCTGCTTCTCTGGCCCTGGAACTCAACAGAAAATATTATATATTTATATATAAAAATAATATTATACTCTAATACAATATAATACTACTACTAATAATATGATATTAAAATTATATATTTTATATTAAATGTAATATTACTACTAATAATAATACAGTAGAATGTTACAGTACAGTGTAATATATAATATTAATATTGTGCCATGATAATAATATAATATATTGTATTTACTTTTTACTTGTAAGCCGCTCTGAGTCCCCTTCGGGATGAGAAGGGCGGCATATAAATGTCCTAAACAAACAAACAAACAAAATTCCTTGTTTTGTAGCAAATTTCCTATGAAGTGGGTGAGGTAGTCATCCTTTGTGATATTATACATTTTTTTCAGGCGGAGGCGATGTTTTACACAGTATCATAAGATGCTGACAGGTCTATGAAGACAGCTCCTGTAATCTACTGGATTACAGGAGCTTCAAAATAAATAGATTACAGGACTTCAAAATAAAAACATATTGTTGTTGTTGTTTAACTGACACAAAAATACAGTATGTCACAGCAAACAAGATCTAGATGCTGGATTTCGTATCACAAAATCACAAGCTGAACATTTCTCAAGTGTCTAGGACTCTTGGGAATTATCATTATCATCATTATCATTATTATT